ACAAAGTATTCCTGAGAAGGTCTCCACCCTGGAGATGTGGTCGTCACGACAACTTTACATTTGAATGTAAGCGCTGTTGGTGACACACTGAGCTTCACCCAGCAGGTGAGTTCACCTGTTTATTCAGTCTAAAGCTTTCTGTCTGCTGCTGATAGAGCTGCGACACCGTCCGGCAGACGTGTCACGGTTCCACTTTCCTGAGATTCAAAACGAAAATCAGCAAACTGAGACTAAAATCAGGGAATAATCAGAGTCATGAAATATTCATGAAAGAGAGAAAATAATGATGAGCAGTAAAATTAGACGAGGAAAGCGGATCTTAGCCACGAGCTGAAGGAAGCTAAAAGTCACAAAATCGTTGTTTGATAGTTACAGGCAGCCTGGCTCCCACGTTTCTTATCTCAGTGAAACGGAGTCACTGTAAACGGGTGCTTCTTTTTCTTCTACCAGGACCTCTGACAGAACGGAGACCTTCAGGCTATCCTCCTGACAGCATCACCTCCAACCACCACAACGCTTCTGCTGAGCTTTAATGTCACTCCCATCATCTGCTGGAGGTAAAGGTGCCATCCAGGGAGAACTTCCTGTCCTAAACCCTTAACCGACCAATCAGCACGCGTTAGTATGATGGCATGGTTTCTGGCACGTGACCCACGCTGGGTTCTCTGAGCCACTGAACAAATCGTGACCAAACTTCCTGTCAGGATTCAAAGTAAAAGTTGTGTCTTCATCATAAAATGAAAACAAACAGTCTTCTTCTCTGCAGATTCCCCATCGAACCTCAGAATGCAGAGCGTCGGGCTTCAGCGCCGCCTCCTCGTCTCTGTCTGCCTCTTCCTCCGCCTTCTGACCTCAGCTGAGTCGCAGCAGGTGGAGCAGCTAGTGGAGGAGGTGCAGAATGTCCCAGTGGAGGTCATCACTGAGAGCTCCCCCTGCAGCGCCACCTGTGGGCTGGGCCTCCGGACTCAGACTCTGTGCCTCCTAAATGACAGCAGGGCAGCGATGGAGGAGAAGCTGCCGAGCGGCGGTGAAGCAGAGGTACAGACGCAACACTGCTGAACACAGGAAGAGGAGGACGTGGTGACCATCTGTGTTTGACCTGCAGGTGACGGAGAAGTGCCGCGTCCGGGCGGTGCAGTGCATGGACACGTGGCAGTGCGGACTCCAAACCATGACAGTCACATCCGGACAGAGGGTGGAGGTTGACTGTGTGGGAGACGTGATGGAGGCCACGGGGAGGTTCTCCTGGAGGTGAGGAAGAGGTCTCAGTTTTAAACCAACCTTTGGGACGGCTGGACCAGACGGGACGTTTGGACAATGAGACGACAGGACTAACCTGCCCGAAGACGGGCCCTCATCGTGTCCTTCAGTTTTAGATTCCATGTTTATTTTATTCTGATCTTCAGTCGGACTCTGTCGGCTTCTTTTACGGCTCAGGGTGTCGTGGCGTTACGCCCGAGGGATCATCAGCACTGACGACGCTCTGCTCGCCCGCTGGGACGCTCCCGAGCTGGACCGAGTGGTTCTGGACCCCGTCAGAGAGGAGGATGCAGGTGAGCGCACCTCTGCACGTGCTCAGTCAGACCCACATTGTAGAAGTGACGTGATTCTGCTGGGATACACCGTCTTTATTTGTGGGTCACTAACCTGTAAAAGCTCTTCTTCTGTGGTGACGCTGACACGAAAGGAAAATATTTGTGAGAGTGAAGCTCGAATCAGACTGACTCCTCCCATCGTCCTCAGGGACGTACCGCTGTGACGTGCAGGACGCCGCCTACCGCAGGGTCAAACGGGCTTACTGGGGCATCCGGGTTCTGCCCGTCGGCGTCCTCAGCCTGGACTACGACAGCTCGCTGGCCCTTTGGGATGAAGGCGAGAAGAACCAGACCGAAGAGGAGGAGGAGCAGAGGAAGATCTTTCCCTTTGCTCTCCTTGCGGTACGTTTGGTTTGGAACACGTTCATTTAATGCTTCTTTGTATTCAAAGTTTGGCTGCTGCTTTGGTCACAGATGGGCGTCAGCGTAGCGGTCGCTGGCGTCTTCGCTGCTCTGCTGAGAGGCTACGAGGCGATGAAGAGGATAAGGAGGAGGAGAAGAGGGATTTAAAGGCGTCTGGTTCCTTCTGAATCTGCCAACCTGCTTCAAATAATTGAAAATCGTTTTTCAGGAGTTTGTTATTAAAATGAATGACAAATAAAACCCAAACCTGCAGATACACGTCACCAACAGGTTTCAGTTTGGTACGCGCTTCATTCTGCCGGGTGCAGTGCGGCCGTGTTCCTGTAGATGGCAGTGTGGGCTCAGCCCTGATGAAGCTCTGCAGCTCATAAATCAGCTGCTGCATACAAAGCTTTTTATCCACATTTTAAAATATTCTTTAGGAGTTGTGAAAAAACTAGTGTTCCTTTTTTCCAGCATTCCAGGTCACAGCTGGAACATCTGTGCGCTGAGGTGCATCCATGTGTGTTACAGGTGTGTTTGAGTCTCAGACTGCAGGGCAGCTCCAGCCAGGCAGGGAAAGCATTAAAGACTGCCCTCCGTAATAACCAGCATGGTGTTGTTGGCAGTGCTTTGGTGCTTCCGTGGAAAGGCGTCTCCTCAGCAGTGATTCTGCTTCACAATAAGAAGCTTGTTTTAGCACAGGTCAGGTGAACGAGGCCACGATGCTGTCGAGCTGAGTGAGCGAGCGGGCAAAACAAACAAAGTGATGATGATGAGCTCGCTGTAACGGATTCATGTCCTGGTGGAAGCAGCCCTGCGACGAAGCACGGAGGGGGGTCAGGTAGGCCTACGTCAGGACCATTTACTGTCCTCAGCAGGGAAACAGTCAAATGTAATGCACATGTGGTTCATGACTAATGCACCCATCTTAATGTTGTGACTCAGACGTTACATGGTCTTCACTGCACCCTCTAACTGGTCAGACTGGTAGTTGGTGTAAAAATGCAATGAAACTGGTTTTAAACGATGCCCCAGTAATAACTCGTCTTCCCAGGATCGCTGTCCCGTTTTTTTTAAAATGATAAGCCACCCTGGGGTTTGTGATGAGGACCCAGAGCAGTAACATCTCTCTCTCTGCGGGGCTCTCATTTATGAAATGGAGCGTCTCACTCTGAAAAATGTCGTCTGTAGCAACGTCCAATCAGTGTTTGAGCATGAAAACCCAGCCAACGGCGCTCTGATCAACACATCTCCAATCAAAACAAACTGATCACACCTTTTGATTCCCCTCTATAGCGTTTCCAGCCATAGACCAAAAACATGACCACCAATGAGCAACATGTTGACTTAAAGGGGAGGAGCTAAAACAGCTTGTTTCAAGCAGAGGTGAGCGGCTGATTTACCAAAGAAGAATAAAAAGAATGAAAAATGTGAAAAGGTTACAAAGGAAGGAAAGCACAGCTGCTGCAGAGAAATCAGACATGTGAGAAGAAAAGTCGCTGCACATCAGATTATTCTTCCACGTTACTAAAAGTGAGACTGAAACCTGGGAAGAAGCCAGCCAGAGGTAACGGACTGATCAATATCAGCCCTCTGTCATTAAGACAGGACAATCTGATGGATTACAATCATTATTTCATTAAATGAATCATCAAGAGACACCTTTAGTGTTCATTCTCTCAGCTGCAGCCTCAGTGCTGTTGAACAGTTTGAGAGGAAATAAAGTAAAATCAAATAACATTGGGTTGTAGTGTTTTAGGGTTGTATCGAAATACTTAAGGAACAATAATCCTGTCGTAAAATTTAAATATATATAAACAATATATTTAAAAAATGAAACAACAAAGCTGACTGACTACCATACAAAGACAGTAAGCAGCACTGGCAAACTGCCGGCCCTCTGCAGATCTTTACTCACATAACCTGCTGTTAGATGTTAGCTTTGCTGCATTGCATGCAGATGCATCCCCGTAAGGAGTAAAGCACCATCGCAGTGCAGAAGTCCCAGGATGAACATCTCACTCTTCATCACTAAGTGAAGAAAATGAAACCCGAGGTTTCTCCTCAGCACTGCTTGTTTTTGTCTACCTATGACATTTTACTTGGTGGTTGTTTGCTGCTTCTGCTAACTGTACAATAAATCGCTCCTTGGGGATAACAAAAAGCACCCACCCGCTAATCAATCCGCTGGTAGCAGGGGTCAAATGAGAGTCGACAATCTTTTCAAGTATAAATCAATGAGTCAATTCATCAATGTTTGAATAAAATCTCTAAATAATTCATTAAATCTGAGAAAGTTATAAAACATAAACATTGCACAAGGTCACCTGGTTCTGCTGTGTACTCTGAGGTTTAATGTTTGAAATATTTAAAGTGTGGATTAATGTTTCCTCTTCTGTAGGGAACAACGTGCCTCATGTTCCACTGATTATCTGTAGACGTGTAGTATTCAGTTATTGATTAGCACACGTGCAGGTCAGGGGTCAGCTGTGGGGCCGTTTATGACCGCCTCTCTCGAGGACACTCATTTCTGCCCCAACTCTTGCTCCATACATTATCTCTGACTGCCCCCGAAGTCATTCTGTCCTCTCTGTCAGAGGCAGCCGTCAACATAAAGAGCTCTGCTCATGCGGGATTTGCAGACGGGTTTGGGTCTCCTCAGCGTCACCGCCGATCCGTGCAGCGCGACGACACGAGGGTTCGCTGATGGTTTGCTGACTGGGCGACATTAGATGGATGAGCTGTTGGGTCTGTTCAGCCACTGCAGACCCGGCAGCTACACTGTCTGTGGATTAAGGAGTCCGCCGTGACCCTGCAGCTGTAAACTGCTGAGCTGGGAGCACCGCCTCCTCTGTGCTGTCTGTACCACGATAAACCTCTGTGAATCCTAAAGTCCCCTGACGGCGAGTCATCGCAGTGAGGAACCATCCTCTGCTGTCCCAGGGGATGATGGACGGGAAGCGTTTCCACCACTTCAGAGCGGTCTGATGGATGGATCGTGAGCCTCTGCAGACACTTCTCCTCGAAAACCAATTAAAGCTAAATGTAAGCAGCCCTCTGTCACACTATAATCTGAAGATTAGAGCAGGAAAGGCGACTGATGGGGCGATCTCCAAACACAGCATGAACGTGTTACTCTGCAATTTAATCCTGAGTGAAGGCGTAATTACAGCTGTCAGCAGCCATTCTGTGTCAGCCACTGTTTAATGGCCTGAGATGACTCTGAAGAAGCTCAGCAGCACACGCTGGCTTTAACGAACTTTGTAGAAATCCTGAAACCTTCTGCTGAAGTCCCACACAGCCCAGTCTGAGCTCTGCAGGCAGTGACGCTGATGTTGGACTATGCCAGCTAATCAGAAATCAGCAGTGTTGGCCAAGTTACTTTGAAAAAGTAATTAATTATAGTTACTAGTTACTTCTTCAAAAAAGTAACTGAGTTAGTAACTGAGTTACAAGATTCAAAAAGTAATTAATTACTTGAAAAGTAACTATTGCGTTACTTTAAAAAACCTTTTAACCCTCTGGGGTCCAGGGTGTAATCGGCCATTTTCAACTACTTCTGATGTTTCCTCCACATTTCACCTTTAAACACTATTTACTTTGTCTTGTTTGGTCTCATCAGCACAACCTCACGTGTCTGAATCTGCAGTCATGCTTTCATTTTGACTACTGTAGTAACACAACTGATCTCTGATGAATTAACCATTTCAAACTGTTTACACAACAATCAGCTGTTCTTCAATAAGATGCCACAAATTATTTGTGCCACTGCAAATATTTCTGTCCACTATAAAGGAAACATCACAGCCTGATACCTGCAGGTCTGACAGCAGCAGGTGTGTCACTCCTGTTTCTACCTGCAGACAGCAGTCGCCTCATTGTTCTGACACACAACACAAAACTATCCACAACACTACACACTAACTACACAACACATTAACTACACACTCCAAACACGCTGAACGTCACAAATCTCTCACATCTCAAAACTCCACAGCTCCTGAAACTTCCAGTGTTTTAGGAGCTGTGTTGTTGTTTTTGCTCATAAGCAGAGAGCGTCGCTGCTGTCCTTAGACAGACGTGACGAAACTATTGAGGAAGAACACGCGTATATCTTGTTTATTATCACTCTGGTTTTACTGGCCTATCACTTTATAAACTGGTATATGTCACCTTGTTGCTTTGTCTGTAAGTGGTCATGTGATTGACCACGACTACTTTACTCTTCCTCAGTCAAACAGCAGCACTCATGCGATTGTTTTGCCTGCTGAGCTCCAGCTGTTGTGCCAGACAGAGATCGTGATCACCGTCCGCGGGAGCACAGCTGCTTAAAGCTGTAGCGCCCAGATTACTTACAGCTACTTCCTGCAGCTGATATAAGATGCTGTAAACTGAACACAGCTTCAACGTCTGGTTGTTGAAAAATAGTAACGGACCTTGTTAGTAACGGTAATGGCGTTGTAACGACAGAAATAGTAATAAGTTAGATTACTCGTTACTGAAAAAAGTAAGGCTGTTAGTAACGCCGTTATTCCCATCACTGGAAATCAGGCCATTTATCCAGTCTCCATATAGCCACGCCCACATGTCTTCATAAAAGTAGGCGTGTTTACTTGGAGGAGAAAGGAGCGATGCTGTTGAGGACCTTTGTGTCCTCCTCGTCGTACACCTCGGGACGGACGGCGGTCAGGAACAGGAACATGGAGCAGGAGGAGCTCAGACGGACTCTCTGCAGCTCAGTCCAAGAACAAAGAGTTTCCATGTTCATGTTTGCTGGTATGAGTCTGTTCATGGAGTGCGGTTGCAAAGCCACGTGCAGGCTGAAGGAGTGGAAATAGCGCCCCCTATGTGACATTTACCAGCAGACTGTGGGCTGGCAGGAGCAGGCTGTTCATGTTTTACCTCTGTTCTCCTGCGCAGGGTTCTCCACAGACCAAGCTGTCTCACGCTGAGCTCAGATCAGGGTCTGGAGGAGTTCTGAGTTGGTCTTAAAATGAACCTGAAATCTTGGTAAATAACCATCCCAAGAACCAGACGTTTTCTCTGTGTCAGATTAATCTGAAGCATGTATCGATCACATCACGATCAGGAGTCTTTCTCTGAACAGATCCGTCCTGTTTCCTCTCATATTTCTGTCAAGTTGCTTCTTTCAGCTCTCAGTGACAGACTGGAGACGCAAAGTCGCTGCAGAGGGACACATCAAAGCAGCCCGAGGCTCAGACGGCAGCTCATCACATGGCAGACTTCAAACACCAGAGCGAGGGAGGACCCTGATGAAGAG